AAGGCCCACAATTTTATAGTGTTGCGCCAATATAACGCAGCACCTTTCCAACCGAGAAATACAGCTTCACTTTTGTTGTACGGAAGGGGGTAAATTGGAATCTGATTTTGAACAAATACATTCCCTATGAGAGAGCGATGGTGAAACCTTCTTCTTCGAAAGGAGACAAAAACAAAGGCAAAAGGATTCAGTTCACAGTAATCCGGATCAGTGTCGTCGTAGAAGCATTAGGTGAGATGAGTGTGTTAGAGACTGTTTCGTGTCTGTTCAGATGAAGCTCGAATCAGCAATGCTCAGTCCGGACGAAATATGTACCCAACCCTTTTACGTTTGGGGCTATACCTATAACGTTATCGAAATCATCTGACAAATAGGCCCATTTGGAGTATGTATGCGTAGAATTCTCCGTTCCAATGCTTCGAGTGTAGCCTACAATTCAGCCAGTGGTTCGTTAGTGTCGATGTTTCATTGGATTTGTAGAATGGTCTTCTAGTCGATAAATTCAGGGATTTTTTTTTTCATTTTTGATAAACCTTTTCGTATCTATTATACAACTCGTATGGTGATGGGTGACATCTCGGTTCCATTATCGCTACTGGGGACACAGCCATTCTATATGTATGATTTTTTTTTATTTTTAAATTTTAGATTTTCGAAAATGAAAACATCCAAACTAGTAGAAAAACAATGTGAGACAAAAACGATATTGGCTTTGTGTTCAGAGTCTAGCATTAATTAATAGTTATTGCGTGACATCGCCGAAGTCGTTTACTAATTTCTATAAAAAAGCTGCAGCAATGGTAGTAATAAAACACAGCACAAGTTTACGACCACCCTCGGCGTCGTGTTGATGTTGGTGAGTCGCCGAAATGGGTCTTCAAAAACTTTTCGAGTGAAGGGTGTTTGTAACAGTTGTATTTATCTGCATGCGCATATGTGCCTGTGCCTGTGCCTAGAACATAGATCAAACGGAGCGGTCGACGGGGCAACTGATGTCGCCTAGCGCGAACACAGGCGTGTTCGCTTTTGTTGGGGTGGGAACATCGAAGCGGACAGAGTCACCATTACAAACGATCAAATTACCTCTTTCTTCTAGGGGGTGCGCGAGTCGAATCGAGAAGCCCGACCCAGACTAATAGTTCCTGTGTTCTGGACACAACCAATTTACCTGGTGACCACGATGCAACAACATTGAAGAAAGAGTAAGTAACTTTCGCGCAGCCAGGATTAGGCCAACCGTCCATGTTTAGTCGGTGCATCGTATTGGGTAGCACTGGGCGCCCAATAGGCGTAAGCACCGTTTGAAGCGCCCTTATCGTTGTATTTTTACCGTCGCATCTGCCAAGGGCGGCAGTGCTAGTTGTAGAAGTTCGGCGCGAAAATCGCTTGGTCAGTTTGTAGGCTGCATGCGGTTCTAGATACACACAGGCACATATATAAATTTTTTGATTGCTTGCCAAGTCAGGCGGAATGTTTTCATAAAGACAATATGAAAAATACAGCTCAAACAAAACCATGTATTGCCTAAGCGGCGGTCACCCAACTCGCCAGTGTACGTTGTATAGCTAGCAGGATTCTGACACATTGACATGTTTATGTGCGCGGGTGAAGTGACGTTGAAACGACCAGACGCCCAGCGTTGAACATTACGGGCCCACGTCGTATACAAATGGTAGATAGGTGCTTTCCGCTATTATTTTCTTTTTCGCCTGCTTTCGTGCGTGTGTACTCGTGCCTTGTCATCATCGACCATCATCGTCTGCTGTTTTTGTATGCTGTTCCCCAACGAACATTCAATAGATCACGAGTCACTCCTAAGACGACTAGACAGTTCCTGTAATAGTGACGATAACGATGGCCACAAATCAACACCGACACGAAACATGTGTACAAACGGAGTTCATAGTTGGTCTTCCGTGGCAAAATCTTCGGTGTTCCTTCTGTTGACGTACCTTTATAGCCGATACGATTCTGTGTTTCGGTAGGCCGACGTTTTTACAGGAAGCCTTCTTCGGACACTAAGGGCATTCGCAGGGTTTGTTACGAAGCTGTTGCTTTGAGTCGTTACTCTAGTTTAAGTTTATTCCGATCCGTGTAGACCGAATTCTCACGAAGTTTTCCGAAATATTTCTGGACGCTCTAGACGACCGAAGTTCTTCGGTGTGCTATATCTGTGGAAGACCCTAGCTCTGCTCGGATGTGGTCAATTACTATTCACCAATAACTGACCTTCTTTCTTGTAGCGAATCTCGGGTGCGAATGAATGAGCTAGTAAAAAAAATCCAGATCATTTCACCCTGAACTAACGTATTTCTGAAATTTCTTTCAAACTAACCGTCAACTGTATTCGACATTCTTAAGCTTCTTGTTGGTCGTAATGAGCTCCGCCATGGTTTAAGCACCAAGCTTTGCCTTGATACGAGACTATTTCTGGCATTACGTAAGCCACAAAGGACTGCACCTGATGCACGTTGATCCTGAGTCTATAGCAGTGCTATATTACGACACCACTAAAGATCACAACTTACTTTTTCCTTGTTGAATAATGTCTCATATTAACTATAGGAATGGCCATACGCACCACCTAGCATGTGCTTTTTTATGAAGCATGCCTACTTATTTCCAAGTACCGTAACGGAACAGAAGCGATGGGACGTCAACTGCTAATTTTGCACTATCCGTAGGAGTGATCTTCACCTCTGGGGCTGACATAGCGACGTCCTAAACGACACCACACCGCATAGACAGCTACGGGTACAGGCCCATTCAGGCACAATATGTCACTCCTCGATGCTGTCACTCACTGCCCCAGACAAACTTGTCTCGGGTTACTCGGCTGGATGTCAGAGCGACAACTGTCTTAAACCAAAGCTATATGGTACCTGTCATCTTTAGAAATTGAAGTTTGTCTTCGTCACCTTCACAAACAAAAGATGGTGTCCTATTCGGGTGACGCCTGAGCGCTTATGAGTCTGGCGCGATCGTAGGAACTTAGCAACAAACTGATCAGTCTTCTCGATGGGCTCCGATTAGAGCTAACAATACTAAACCGGTACCTATGCAGACAGCAGTCATAGAGATTTGAGTGTTGGTAATGGGGCTTATTAATGTATGTATTAAAAAGGTAAAACATTTGTTTGTTATTGATGGAAACGAAATAGGATTAGAAACTCGCGCGATTTTAGCCTGGTATCGGTTGTTCTTATTCAGCTCGTGGTGCTCAATCTGCACCAGGCAAATTACTTTGGGTACCATGCTATGCAAATAAAAACCCGATTTGACAATGATAAAGTGCTAGCTAGCCTTAGAGGGCATCGATTGACTTGCACACAATAATTATAGTGATTTCTGTCATGAATGCTCGGAATCCTTTGCGCAATAAGGTTAAGGGCACGAGGTAAGGCTTCTAGATCCGAAATCGGGCATACATGCATGGATCGTGTATTGTTGGAAGCGGCTAGTCGTGTGAAGTACTGCTCACGTAGGCACCGGACTAATAATTAGAAAAGTTTGGTCAAGCATGCTCGGATATAGGACACAAATATTGTTGATACCATCGCTTCTATTCTATGCTATCCTATCCATATTCCCTAAGCTATCCGTCCGTGTTGAGCAAATATGATTTGGCGAAGAATATTCTCGAATTCGGGAAAGGCCAGATGAAAGTCGTCCGCATCGGCATATGGGCATTTATTTAGTTAGCGGTATGCCGTCCCGGAAATCTGTTGTGATGCCATGTTGACAAAGGCTTACCCGTGGGCCTCTTACAGGACAGCTTTTTTACAGCTGATAATTAGACAAGCAATAATTTCTTATTACTCTTATTCATATTATTGCTTGACCTCGCCAGAAGACATGCCGAAATTAGGCGGTAACGTCAGACTTACCAGTTCTAAATCCCTGAGCGATTTACTTGCGGGGTACAATCAACGTACCTAGAATTGGAAATTTCAAGAGATTCCATTTTGTCAAGAAACATTGTTGCGGGTCAAAAAACATTAAAAAAAATATATAAAAATAAATATTGCAATAGTGGAGAGCTCCGCTAAAGCTTTCAGTGGAGAAGTTGAAACATTTTTCCTAGCTGACTCTCGGCTGTCTTTTTTATGACCAACTTCAAAACGATTTAGTACAGACTTGTCTAGTAAATAGCAAAGACGATCTCAGTTCGAAGTTACTTATTCAATTGTTGTTAGCTACGAGTATGCTGACTACGGTTTATGTGAAGAATCGTATCACAGTATACTTCTGATACGTTTATTTACCATGGTCCTTTGATATAAAATGTGTAGCAAGAAGCGCCTTTATTGGCTCATTTTTACTAGTAGCTTCCTCTTTGTATCGTCGTAATACTGACATACATGGAAGTCTCTATCTGTCCTGTGAGGAAACTGACCGTATAGCTGCAGCATTTATCCTATATCCTGGTCAATTTTGATCTTCAAGAAAAATGCCCTTTAGATGAACACGCATAGCACTACATCACGTTCCAGTACTCTAGCATGCATCTTGAAAGGGAATCCAGAAATTAGCTGGAACGCTTTGGTAAGCGCCGTTCCGCATCTGTTGATGAACAGAAATAGATATAAATGAGCAAAGTATGGAAAAAGCGCGTGTCGCGGCTCTTTTGACGCGTGTACGTGGCTCGTCGACAAGTGTTGCCCATCCACCCAACCGTATAATATAAACCAATCTGTAACTGTCCAGTTTACGGTATATTTACCTGATAAAGTGCACCGTTTTGATAAAAGCATATAGCTCAAAAATAACCGGGAATAAACAAAATATGATAAGCGTCCACTAAATCAATAAATGATTACCTATAGTGTATATATACAGGATATTTGTTTCTATAAATTATTATCCGAATAATATAATTGAGAAGAAGGAACAGATACAGTTCGTTACATTTGACTGTTTATTTATTTACATTTGTTTAGATACAAACAATTCTATGTTATAATTTATTATGTTTGTTATTGTTCGAATGTGCCCCTAAATCTCCGGTCCAGTTTGCATTTTCAGGTTTCTTGCCAGGTAGCCTGCTAAGGACAATAGAAAACTACGTTTTCTATCGCCAGCCGCCCCGCTCACTCTGTCTTTCTTCGCGTTTTCCTCACGGGACTTATCCCTCCTCTCTTTTTTCCACTCGTATCCTAGCCCGCAGCTTAACTTTTCCCACCAGGCTATCGCTGTGTGTCCTTCCAAATTACAGATCTCTCCTTGATACAAGAGAGAGAAATAAAAAGAGATTATAATGTCCCAACCGCGAAAGATTCGTTCCCATCACCTCATAGGGGATTGATTCCACGTGAGTGCGTCTTCACTTCTATTCCCGCGGCTTGCTTCTGAGTGCCGGGCTTTTTCCCTTCGTATTTTCCACTGCCGACGTATTCGGTGTCTCTGTTTCTTTGCAGGGTACAATATAGGCAGGTAGACGTTCAGGTGCGTAGAACTCATTAGGCATTTCTTGCAGGATGATATAAAGGTCTAGAGTTTCAGTCCCGTTCATTATACCTAGATGAGAAGGCGGGATGCACGGTTTTCCTGTGGTTGCACAGGTCGGGGGATGTAGCCCAGTTGAGTTTCTCTGGTGATGGTAGAATGGAGTTGGGCATATCTACAACCCAACAAATTTCTGCCAAGCTCTACCAAGCAACAAACGAGCCTTAGCAGCTGTGGTTATATGCGAATGTAGCCACATTTCGAGGTTCGTTGTTGGCGTCGCACTCGAGTGCCGCTGGGATTGCACACACACCCGATCGTTGTCCTGTATATAGGGAACTGCAAGGTAAAGAAAGGGTCTGGATGATTGCCCGTGAGGGAGGCAAAAATAACCACTAGAATAAAATTCTGAGCGGATTTTCACAGCTGGCCAGCTAAAGCCGCGTCTTTATGGAAGCCTCCTTCGCTAATTCTATGCGGAACCCTCGGTCTATCTTCGCTGAAAGTGCCCGCTTCGATTCAGTCGCGATGTATGACAATGAAATCGTGTTTCACGCCCGAATACTTTACATTGTCGAATTTAGAGCATCCCCTTGGGGGGGATCTCGGTATCTAACCGATGGACGAATCATCTTTTCGAGAATTTATCGACAGGTCTTGGCTGTGGTGTATTCGCGCAGGCGTACTTCGACTTCGTTTTTTCGGTAGTCGATACATATTTGGTTTTCGTTTTACAACGTTCCGGACGTTTTCCATTTCTAAACTATTCCAATATTTCCGCCTTGCGATGACGCTTGAAGTGTGTTACAAGGTACAGCTTTTCCAGAGTTATTTCACCCATTGAGAAAGTGGGATGATCTTTGAACAGTATCAATTAGTGTATGTTAGATGTATTTGTTTTACCTGTTTGAAGCAAGCGATCTATATCTGTGACCTGAACGGCTATATCGAATAGTTTATCGATGACCGTTGAAAAGGGCTGACCTTGGGTCACTTAGTTACTGGTCCTGGACTGACTTCGTTAGATTCGCTTTTTGTTTTTGCAGCTCATCTTTAGTGTCTAAGACGTACCGTTAGATATCCCATATGGAGACGAGATGCTTTGTTTCGTTCAGAATCTTCCATAATTATGGCAATCGTTCCACCGTTTGAAATGTAGTTATCCCACATTTTCTATTTTTAAAAAATTATTATTGAAAAACAATAGTTTCGCGGCCAGTCTACTCTTCCGGTGTTTGTATCACTATCGCTCCCAACTTTAGAGGAGTGATTTTTATTATTAGACAATGTCCTCACTTTTAAACTCGGGGTTCTCTAATGGCAATCAATCTGCCTCTGGTCGTAAGTAGCGACGACGATTTGATGCAAATATCTGTCTAACCTGTTTCTTTAATGGTGTGCGCTTTGACGTTATCCGTATTTTCCGTTTAAAAAAATCCAGCTAAGCAAATACGATGCATTTAAATCTCTGAATTATACTTTAATAAAATGCAAATCTCAGAACACTTCGAATAGAAGCCATGGCGCAATATGGCCAACTAGCGGTTCTGAGATCGTAGGCCGTGCTATAACCTAGCAATCTGCGTTATTCCATATTGTTAACCCCTATGAACAATATTGATTGTTGATAGGGTCGACAACTAACCACCTAAAAACGCATATGAACAGCTTGGACCGGAAACAGACGTGGAAAAGTACGATGGAAGAAACCCTAGCTTGCTTCGAGCCCTTCGACGCCTCGCTCTCTATAGACAATAGTGATAATAACATTTGGGCAAGCTATGATCGCCGTGTGTATTCTGCTGATTCTCTGATCGGCAGAAACACGAACGGCGCCAGCAACGACATTACCGGACTTTAATCATCATTCCATGAACTGTTTATAGTTGAGAAGCATGAACTTCTTTGGAAGCGACATCGATTCAAGCTGGACTCATCTGTCAGCCATTACGTGACACAGTCGAGGATGATTTTGCGTGGACGATACAGGTAAGCGCGTCGATCTGTGTTGCTGACATTTTCCTCAACGTGCAGATCTAGCTGAGAACTCAGGCTTAGGCGGCTCTTTTGCAGGACACCACAATGCCGTCGAGTTCAAATCGCCCGGGCATGCTTAATGCCTACAAGCTTCTCGTTCTATAACTCGTCGGCAGCGATCCGACACCGAGCAGGTCGGAGTTTGATGCAAAGAAACAGCCACTATCAAAACACATCCAAACCGAACGAGTTTCCAGATCGCAGAAATCGGATGCTGACATGACAGCCCGATAATGCGGAACGTCGCTAGGTGTACTATGCGTTGATTTATTGACACTTAAACATGTTAAATGGGGGATAGACGACGAGGCAGATAGCGGCAATCTATACGACGATAATGGTGATGCTAACGTCATGGCAAAGCTGTAAACAGACATCGACTTCCGGGAATTATTCCTAATATTATACCTACAACCGTAACAATAACAAATGCAGACAGAATAGGTTGTCAGTACAAAATCGAAGGAGGATCATCGACGTTCGTTTTGGTGCTTGGTTGCTTTTCGTTTAGGCTTCAGCTACTCTCCGTATATGTTGTGCGCGTCCTTCTAAGGTACTGAGGAGCATTGATCAGGAACGACATGGAGCTATGTGGGCGCAAGCTGTGACAGAAGCACACTTGGTGCAGTTATATATATTCGCTGAGCTAGCGTGTAAGCACTAACTAGTATCAGATAATTGAAATTGCGGTCAACAAACGCAATGTGTAAAGCGGTCTTCCTTAAGGTACCAGATCACAGTTATTCGTTGGTACCTACCGAGACCTATCTCGGCTCATTTGCTTTTTGCCGTTCGCAGAAGTGTCCTCTTTCGTCCGTTTCTAATCGTAATAACCTCAGAATGATGCCTATAGTAACAGATTGTTCTTAACGTCCTGGGCGAAAGAAGAAGAGTGGAACATTATCTTGCTCAGATCAAAATCGAATTTACTTATTTCGACCGATCGTTGCGTGGACTATATTTATCCAGAGAGGATGAGACACATGGACGACAATGCAAAGTTGGCTCTGGACATGGGCGCCTTTTTTTTGCAAAAACAGAGTTCCCCTTAACGCTGCCTAATTCAGTTTATCTTTATCACATCTTTCGCTGTTTTAGCTGAACGCGCGTGGGCACCTTTTCAATAGAGCGCTTTGATTGACCTGCTGCTGCTACTACTAATGTTTTATTACTTTTGGTCGTTATATCTTTGCGTGTTTTTCTATCTGGTAGCACTGCCTCTGATACAGTTGCTCCTGCTGTCGTCGTCTTCGTCGTCGTCGTGAAATAGCGTTACGACGTCAATCCACCTACGATGCAGAAGCGAGATTGAAGACTGTCGCTGACTTCTGATTGCCGGCCGCGTGTACAACATGTACACTTGTTGCTGGTGCCTCAGCTTTCCAACGTTTCGTATCGTAAAGTTAAACGATCAATTACAGCTCTTTGGGCAATATTTGCCTGGTACAACCGTGGAGTATTTTTGACTATGCAAAGTCAGTGCTGCAGCAGCAGCAGTAACAACGCACAGATATCACCGGTACACACTTCAAGTGGGTAACTGATTCTCTCTACAAAAACATATATACACATATTTATATAGACAAGGATAAGCATGGCGAATTCCTGCTCGATTGTTTTTATCTCAGTTATTAGATCAGTCAATGTAACTGGTCATGATGGTCGTCGAGCACTACAGCAGCGGAGGCTGAATCCGTGTCCTGTTCCGTATGTACCCCTCGCTGTCATAAAACACTAAATTCTCATTTAAGTTTACGCCATCATCTGATTAATAACACTAGCGACCGTCTCAGCATATGTTCACACCAGGGCCTAGATTGCTCTTAGCTCCTACGGGTTGGTTACATGATCAATTAAAAAGCTTTTCTCATCTCTTTCTTTTTGCAACCGATCCTCAGATGACTATGGCTGCTGACAAACAACCCCCACGTATGTTTATCAATCCGACCGAGTAGAAGACTAAGAATTAGCCGGTACATGTTGCTTCTTGTACGCGGAGTGATCCTTCCTGCCTTCAAAATGCCGCGAGTGAATTTAGATGGATAGGGAAAAATAATTGCGATCGGTAAGTAGAACTTCTGTCGAAGTGTAGCCAGTAGTGTTATATAACGAGTGGGACACCTCATAATATGGGAGATGACGAAACTGATTGGTCCTGATTGTCCCAGAGGTACCCATGCTGATGTTCGTATCGATTGTGTGACATTACTTCATCACTGCTGAGTGCACAGACCACGCAATCCATTTATTGAATGACATATAGTCTTAAATGTTTCTATTCCCTATGCCATAAAAACGCGACGTGTGTGTATCACTAGATAAAGGTCATATTGTCCAGTTTGTCATGAAAGATGGTCAGAGGTCTTGAAGCATCCATGTTGTATGAAAATAGATTTTATAATCAACCCCACACTCTGGAAAAATCTCAAAGCAAAGGCCAATTAACGCGGGGTGATCGAGTTTGTCCACTTGAAGCCCAATGGCTTCCGTGTTTGATACTCTCAACTAACCAGACGATAAAATTCGAGATGACTAAGAGCTCCCTGCTGCTTCAAGGCTCATCGATGTCACTGTCAAATACGGGACGGTTTTTGTTTAGGGAAAAGCCTATTTGCAGTTGCATAAAGTTAACGGATGTAGATGCACTTGACTATGGACCTTTATGGATTTTTCACTTATTCTTTTTTATTAATCATGCAACAGTTGAACACTGCTGAGGAATTATTGATGCTACAGCCATCGATCCTACTATCATTCTCGTGATATGCAACATTAGAGTCGATACGATGTCGTTGGCGGTCATCCTGTGTCAATGCTTAAGACAACATGAGCATCAGTGGGGTTCGTCTCTCTCTCTCTCTTCTTCGGTGATTTTTTGGTGCTTCTTTGCTTTTGGGCCTACACTATGGGCTTTACTTCGTTGTGAAGGCCACAGATAGAAGTCGAACTCGGGCCATTAAATAGCCAACTGTCTGTACGAACAGAGTGCAATCGATGCTCTGTTGTATTCCCATCGTAGATGTCGCGATTGCTGCTCTTTACCAGGTACTGAGTTAGGCCGCTGCCTAAGTGGCCTCGAGTTGAGGCGCCTTCAGTGGAGCGCATCTCAAACTATTTTAGTAAGCAGACTTGAACGAGCCTAAAGCAGCCACATTGTTCGGACGTGATCGAGGCACACGCTGCTATTAGCGTAAGAGCAGACGACTCTCGAACAATTCGCACAAACAGCAATCTCTTCAGAATCAACTTCGTCCCGTTTCTGGCCAGGCCCGAGTAATGGTTGTGAATGAAAATATACAGGACAAACGTAGACATCAGATAAGATTGATTAGAGGTGATACAGTCACTTAACGATGGCACGATACGTCCACACAAGTCATTAATGTGTATCAATTTATTTGCTAAGATCGATGAACGGCTGCTGGAAGGGAATTTACTTCCATCCGTATCAGCGAATAGCGAGAAGTTAGTCAGGCTGCTAGTGAAGAGTAACTGTGAACACACGCCCACACAATTTTTTTCAGCGAACTCTTCAAATTATCTCTCAGTAAGGAAGACTGCATTGTAGCTGAGTATGAAACACGCATACGTTGAAGCTTATGCGCGTGTAGGAGTTCTTATGCAGTTTACGAAGCCGCATAAAGCAGAAAGTAACCAGATTCTCTGGAAATAAAAACAGCGTTCATAGATCCGAAACAAACAACAATGAAGTTGGCCTGTTTTTCTAACAGATTATAAATGTAATTATCGTCGAGGCTGGATGGAATAAAAAATGGGGCGTGTTGTACGTCATGTCTGGAAAAGGTCTAATCGTTGGCTAATTCACTAATGATGCGTAATGTAGGGCGCTATCACCATTGTCCATATATGTATCCAAGCAACGATAAATAGACGATAGTGTCTAGAAACCATTCTATAGCTGTTGTATCATCATCAGCTTCTTCAATAGCATCTTCAATAAAGCGGACCCGGTCCAATTTCTCATTGTAGCTGATACACGAATCACGAAGCACGCTTTAATGGCTGTAAGCTCTGTTAAGCACAGTAGTTTCAAGTTAGCGGACAATTTGGATTAGTATAGGTTCTGACCTATCCATAAGACTACGATTAGCAAACCGAGACTACCATGTAATCGTCGATTCGTGAATCGCTGGTAAACGAATAGCATCGATAACGACTGTTATACAGGACACGGATACATAAAATCTATCGCAAATGCGCGTAAATTCATGAAGAGCTAAAACGAACCCGTACGGTCGTGGCAATATTGATACTGCTTTCCACAACCTTACCGTACGTCCACATCGAAGCTGGCAAGCCATCCGCCCGCCTGCACTTATACTAATCACTGTGGGGTAGCACTCAGTAACTCAGATATCCTCAGTCTTCGTTTTCTGCTTCGTTGTTGTTATTCCTATCATTGTCGTCGCCTTTAACACTTGATAGGAAAGCATGCCTTCGCACGTCCCTGTGTTTATAAAAGGGATTTGAACCCAATTGCCGCCATTAACACACCGCCATGCGTTTGCCATGGCACCACCGTCGCTGGGGGCTGTTTGGACACTCAGAACGCGGCAGTATTCGCTTCGGCCGTATCAGAGGATAGACGTAGCGATGGCTGATGCCGGTTCACTTTAGGTGGGCTGCCAGTTCTGGCTGAGTCTCCAGCGTCACGTTGGTATTGCGGTTGTCCGCTATAGCGTGTCCTGATATTGTCCTAGCTATTCAGCGGCGGCGGGCGATCTGAGCAGGAGCGAGCTGCAACCCCGTTCCTGGTTGTCGTCAGCGTTTGAGTCATTCGCGAATGTATCGGGTCGCTGGCTGGTTTTTCCACTTGACACAATCTTTGCGATCGATTCACGGATACACACACAGACGATACACAAGCATAGATTTTACTTCATAAGGATGACAACACAGTCGGCCCCCAGTGATCCTGAGGTGTAATAGGAAACGGGAAAGAGGAGCGGTTTGTTGTGACACGGGGGTTCGGGGATTGGTTGGCAGACCAACGGTATAGTGCAGCAAGAGTGGTGCTTGAACACCGAGCGCCGAGCAAAATCAGAGGTGACCTGTTATAGCAATGATTTCATTTCGGCACCTCATGAAGAGAAATACTTCTAGCTGCCGCCGAACTGGCAGAAGAACAGCTTACCATTGAACTGGCAAAGCGGACTTTGAGCTGTTCATCAAACTCCGCACACAAACTTCCCCAATAGCAGCAACCCCCTAGGAACCCGGCCATATTCGTCAATTGGGTGTTCGTCGTTTGGCCATTGTCGAAAGTGAGAGGAAAGACTGGCTTGAGTTCGACACGAAGTGGCCACAATCTAGCTAAAACGCCAACATCTTTTTTTTCCCCATACGATGCACGCCCCAATTTCCGAACACAGCTGTGTGCAAGGCAATGTTTATGCTTTTCAACACGAAATAGCATTTAGGAAAATTGTAGTTTTAAACACTATTTTTTCAAATTATAGTACTATTATTATTATTATTATTATAATTACCGATACCGGATCTCGTATGCATATTCAGTATTTTTAACAGTAGCGAAGTTGGCAACCATTTCTTGCTAGTTGGATGAATTTGTAATAGACTTTTACCCGAATGAACGGATAATTCTACTGTGGAACATGACAAATGTTTCGGGTTTGCGTCCGGTTTCTTCAGACGCTCCGAGATATTACCGAAGAACATCTATATCTTTGCGTAATTGCATTTGGCCCAGTGTGCAATAAAGTAGTGCAGCAACAAATGAAGGTCGTAGAAAATTCGCCTCGTTTACGCGTCTTCTTCGGCCACCGTTGCCGTCGCCGATTCTCTTAGCCGTCAACAACAACGTCGACAATGAAAAGAACAAACATAGCAGAGTTAAAACCAGACGCTGTCTATGATCTCTATCGTGCCATAGGCATAAGGCTGTGCGGCCTGAAACGCAGTGGGGTGGCTCAGCAAAGGATGAGAGATCATCTGCTGCGGCGGGGGGCAGGGGGCGGGGAACAATCTATAATCATTGGTGAAGCTCGAGCCTGCGAGCTCTCGCTTGAGCTGCACATTGACGAGCGCAATTATCAGACTCTTTAGCCAAATTTGCTAGTTGTTTCAAGAAATCACTGCATTGTGCGCTGTCTTGGAACCCCCCAGGGATTTCATGTCAAATTCCCGCTGAGAGTCATCTATAAGGGAAAGTACGGCAGTCCTGGTACATATGATTGTTACATACGATTAGTCGTTAATTGCAAGATGCTTCCTACTGTTGTAACTAAGTAGGCATAGAAAGTAAAAAGTACAAAAATAAGAACTAAAAGTAAATAGAGTTGTCGCCCCATTAATGCAATTTTACTATGTCGACAGTTGTGCGCGGAATGGGGATTATCCAGATTGGGTTTTGTAATTAAAAAGTCCATTTTTGGTAGCTTCGTCTTGTCGACTAGCTTCAACTAATATCACTTCTTAGTTATGGGCAATGGGTTCTAAAATATACTATTCTTGAGAGTACACGGTATGTGTAGAAGACCGTTTGTCGAAGCGTGGTAAGCGGCGATTTGTATGCCGGGTTCGAGCGCAAGGGACGCTTTTCCCAAAAGGATTAGGCATCATCTTTTTTCAATGATCTCGCTGCTTTTATCTCAGATTCATTGGATTGTATTTCTCTTGCCTCCTGGCATATACGCCCCTCTTGACAACAGTCAAATACATAAGATTTCTTGTAAGATTGTTCGGTTAAAAGATAGACTACTTTTTTAGCTAGCGATAGCGTACTTCTAAAGAAAATGCTCTCGTCACTGTGACGTGACGCCAGAAGCATTAAGGTACCTGCTTCCCTTTCCGAAATACTGTCCTAAAAGGGAGATGTGTATAAGTTTGAAATCTGCTTTTATTAGTATATGATTTGTGAATGTCTACATGGCACTGGCTAAACCGCCGGTTTATTTACAATGAACATCGAACGGGATCATTACCGCGATACGAAATCTACTCATTATGTATCCATAGCCAACTGTGCTATTTCAAGAAAACTTTACGGAAGTTCCTAGTTCAAAATTTTATTCAGACAAATCTCTGATCGAACGGAAAATCTAACTGAGACAATTATCAAACGTACAGAGATTTATTCGCTTTGAAAGCAGGATATCTTTAGGACCGAAATGCTCAGCCAGTGTTTGACATTTATAGGCACCTTTATGGAATTATACATTCGGTTCTATTGGTCGAGCTGACGGAGTATCATTCCGTTTCTTTTGTCAATGCATGCTAAATCTATCATTATGAAGTTACATGCAAGTTATGTGTCAGCACTAGACATTGGCTGTATAGGTAGTTTGCACAACCAAGGAATTGAACTTTCAGCACAAGACATTTCCTGTCTACCCTGCAATTGATATAATAACTGGGACGATAGCAACGAATAAAATAGATTAAAAACTTCATAATATAATAACCCCTTTTATTTATACTCGAATAATAAATAAATACTATCGAGTAACGAATATTGAAACGTTTGCGCACTCCGTTGTGGTAAAAGAAACCTGCCTGAGTTGTATCTGAGCAGTAAAATCTCATATCTAGCGAAATAACGTAGACAGGGCGTATCGTAAATCTATATTCCCGAGATCGAACTGTTTTTTAGAAGGTCTGGATCATTCATATACTTTGATGGCGTTAAATCCAACTAGAAAAGCGAGCACTCCATATGACTTATATACAAGTACGGCATTTACTCGTTATAAAAAAACATACCCCTAATTTCGATACGGTGCATGGCTTAGAAATAGAAAAGTATTGTGAATCGGTAGCAGTCGCTGGTTCGTTTAGCTTGGCTGACAGACCGGCTTAGTTTTAGGTAACTAACAAATAGAGGAAATCTGGGGCCTGTCTCTCGTGCCTTTATGTAGCTCTGTATTCGTCACTGCATACAAATACATAGTAATAGTACAAATTTCACCATTGAGTCCCAAATGACGCCACAGAATCTACACATGCATCATTGGAAAAGCTGAGATGGACTCTTCCGTTATGGCTCTTTTAGCAGATGACGAATAGTTTTTCTTCTGGTGCTTATGGCGTTACCCTTCTGTTTTCTGTTGTTGTTGGCAGGTTCTTGCGCTTGATAGGCATTATTTCGTGGGCTCACTTTGCCAGCCGCTGCAGAATTAATGACCGACTGACGGACACTCACTTAAGTTTTTGTTCTTTCGCTTTTTTCTTCAGCTGCTCGTCGTTTCAGCGTTTGTCCTCAATTGCGCGCTGCGTTTTTTCATTTGGCGTCTTCTTCCAGCCACGGCAGTTTTCTACGGCGGCAGAAGAACCAGATAGGCTATCACCGTTGTTTCTACTTCTCCAACCTTCATCACCGCCATCTTGAGCGTTCTACAACAGCTATCAGCCAACGCGACGGATCGACATCACTTTTCGTTTATGTGGCCCCGCCTCCTTCTGGGCGGCACCACCCTATTGCCTTTGATGGCGCTCCAATCGATTCCCTGCAGCTTCCCGCGGCTGCAACCGTCCCTTAGGTCCGCCCCATCTCACCCTCGCGGCGGCGAGTGGTCGCGCGTCGGTAGAGGCTCGCGCCGCTAGACGTCGGGTTGGCCGTCGGTTCTCGCTCTCTGTGGATTTGTGTGCGCCGAGTGGCTACAGCCGATATGCGGTGCTATCAACGACCGCCGCGTCGGTGCGTTTGTGTGTGTGCGCGTATCGAAGACCAACGACATTGAAGTAACCTCGGTTTGTTGCTGCTGCTACCACCGCCGCCGCCGCCGCCGCCGCCGCCGACGCCGCTACAGCCGCTGCATAGCCAGCATCGTAACAGCATACGCCGCCAGCGCGTCGTCCATACGACGGTCCCGCCGTCTACAGCACATGTGCGTTCCCTGTGCGTCAAAGCTGCCCGTGTGAGAGTGGCTGTGTAAAGTCGTCGTGGCCTGTGTGTTTCGAGGGGAGACTGCGGTTCTACTGTGCGTCTGAGGAAGTAAATGAAGTAACGGCAAGCGACGCCTAAACCCGAGAGGCTCAGGCTTCGTTGGTGTTTGCTGCGTTAGGCTCTGCCTGCCAATGTACAGCCAATCCGGCCAAAAGTAGCTACGAAGCTGTCGTTTCGTTTCAACGGGCAATAGCAGTAGTAGAACGACGAAAGCAAAAAACGCATGGGGGTTGAGTGCTGGCTAACAGACAGGCTCCCCCGACACGGTGGCCCGAAGAACTTATAGCTAAGAGCCGAGAGCTAACAACCCTGGAGCACAGCTCTCTCCCCGGTTTTACACCACCAACAAACAACAGGCGGCTGCCGCTGTGGACTTACTGCTTGAGGCCTGCGCTCTGAGCCGGCGGCCAGACACCAACGATTGGCCGGCGCAGGCCCAACTGCCCCGAACTTCTGGCGACCACAGTGAAAGACATACACAACTCATATGTCCTACATCTTCAGCACTCAGAAACTCTGAAGCATTTGGGTCTTTGCCAGGCTTCTTCCCCCTTGAATCGCTGCCGCCCTTACGGGTAGTAGCTAAGCGTTTGGCAGGCTTTTCCATCCAATACCATACATCCTCTGGCAGCCGTAGTGGCTCTTTGAGCCCCCACAGCCCTTTTTCCCTTTTCTCCACTAACAAGGGCGACCAGGCTTTCATACGAGTTAGGTCGTGCTGTTTTCCCTGTTGTCGGTTCTGCCTACCCCATCAGTTCTTTCCCGTTTGGCCTTTCCCCAACGGGTGGATTCGATTGTGCTGCCTAGTCCTAGGCTAGGCCTGCTGTTCCGTCGTCTCGGAGGCCTGTCGGTCTTGTATCGTTTCTCAACTCGACGGCTGTTCACAACGCCGGCCATCGTCATAGTCGCAGCGGGCGTACATTGCTGCTATATGCACCCGGTTACTCAGGCCCCGAGTTTCGCACGGCCTCGACAAGAAGAGGCGCGAGAGAGGCGTCCCGTACAAAGCGACACAGGCCGACATTACAGCGAGGAACCACCAGCCTTAGCGACGAATGCGATAACGATGAGAGCTTCCAACAACTGTAGATTGGTCCTGCCGCTACAGCATTGCGGCTCGATAGCTTGTGTAGTTGCTCTGCTATATCGGCGCTAAGACAGATCGCACAATACCGTTTCAGTTTAGCCGTTACTCTTAGTCCCTAGGCATACGGGACGTTTCTAGACCGCCCACGTTATACTCCAACTGCATAGACCTCTAGAAAACAAACCAAGAACAAAGCCAGATCGACCGTGCAACGCGAACATCAACTGGTAGCTTGGTAGTAAACGCGTTGTGCGCGCAAACCATCCGCTCCGATCTGTTTCACTTTTCCCAGTGTTCTCCCGCCAGTATTTCTGTGCGTATTTTGCCGCTACGGCGTTCTCGTAGCTTTGACAATCGTGTGGCGCTGGCTGGCTGGCTGGCTGGCTAAGTTTTTGCGTGTGTGCTTATTTGTGTGTATCTGTTTATTTACCGTTGGTCCGTGTGTTCCTTGCCTGGGTATGTCTGAATGTGTAAGCCTTGACCCTCCGGAGTGTTGATGCTGCTAGCACCAGACAATCAACCAGCGAAGCAAACAGGCGCCCTGTTCTCGGCTGATACTGCTTTTGCTTTACTTTGTCAGAAGGCAGCAGCAGCAGCAGCAACAGTACGGGGCCACATCACCATCGAGAATCGGCGTCTCGCACAAGATACTACTATCAGAATTAACGGCGCCGCCGAAGCTGGTCGGCAGCCGCAGTAGCTACGGCGCGGCCGCCCGCCCGCCAGCAGCGAACGCGAACATCATCACCATTATCAGCGACGAGCCCCAAACGACAGCAGCTGCCAAACGCAGCAGCGGCGGGCGCTAGCAGGAGCACCAAACCGACAAAGTGGCAGCAGCAGTAGCAGCAGCTCTGGCCAGCTCGTGTTTCTCCGTTCGTCCGCGGCTCGTTGCTGTCCTGTGACTACGCCGACTGGCTTCATCCCTTTCTTCAACGACGGCAGTGAGCGTCCGTTGGTTCAGCCCAGCGAGCAGCGACTGAGTCAGCGGACGAACGATCCCCGCAAGCGGATGGTTGCATTGGAGCACCACTGAGTTGTTGTTCGTTCCACAGCACTAACAGCCGCTGACGACTGCTCGTAACGCTGGCTGTAAGGGACTATAGCGGTACAGACAGCTTCTAGCGATATATATTAGTCAAACTACTTAGCTCAATAGTGGAGAGGAGGAGAACAACTGGAACAAAGAACAGAGGCGAAAGTCAGGGTATCGCCGGTACCCTACGAAGAACCGCATGTAGGACAACAAAAACAGGACAGCAAACCGGCAGGCCGAATCGACGCACCGCTTCATTACCAGATCGATCTCTTGCTTGTCCGATCGGTTCCAGCAACTGCATTGTGCTCTGTGGGCCTCTGTAAGTATTTATGTGCGGGTGTCGCTTTTCGGTAAGCGAAACAAAGTGGACGAAACGGCAACAAGAAAAAAATTTCATTATGGCTAAAAACAAAGGTTTTACAAGTTACAGAAGGTAAAGTTCTTCGGCTTGTTGTTTATGCAGAAGTTACGAAAAAAAAAAAACGTGAGGTTACGCCAGTACATCGCCATTACTCTGGCCGTTCGGCAGATATGAAGTGTACGCGGTTCATCTGTCCATCAGAGTTAGTTTAGCGCAGGAGGAACGGTGATCCATGTCTTCTCCGCTTTTACCATCGTCAAGCTGCGAGATGCCATTTTAATACATCGTGAACAAGATTATAACAGTAATCAGCCAGAGCAAACGAGCACGAAATCGACTTGCTTGTGAATAATGCAAGAATCTGCAAAGAAAACGGTCGTCCCAACCACTCAGATCTACCGCGCAAACAAAAAGCGTCGTAAGAATTAGCTATCATCGCCCTGTGGGCCACCGTTGAACCGAGGAAACGTCGGACGCGCTCGTTCCTGGATTGACTGTGATACTGAGGATATGTAGGATGAAAGATAGGTCGTATCGTAGGTATATCATCTCAGTGGTGTGCGCCAACTCCACGTAATTCAGGCCTAGTGGACGTCAGCAGGATAGCGAGCGCGACCTTTCTGCGGCTTCCCGTAGTCAAAGTGAATAGGTGTCTTCGTTTCTGTTTTTGTTGGTGGTTCGCCGCAGATGTTCAAGCACTCGGAACGGCCCGTGGGCAAAAATGGGCAGTGTTCAATGTGAAAGATGAATATGTCGGCAGGCCATCATCAATAAGTATGTTGTTTGTTGCAATGTGCGTGGTATCGTGTGCATGTTACGCCATGCGCAGATGCGCTCAACTTTGCGTAAAAGCTTCATATCGGTGCGCGTCGTCTCGAGGGAAAAAGAAATCATCAAATGATCTTGTGCTCCCGAGTGTCTCTATTATCATCTTCTGTGCCTCTATAATTGCGTAGGTGGCAGAAAAAAAGCTTCCGAAGTGATCTGCTGCAGTGAAAATAAATTTTTCATCATCAAATATAATTTTGTTATCTAGCTTCTAGTGCCTCGATTACCAATTCATCAAGAATGGATATAAATGACTCTAAATAGATTGTGCGCTTGGTATCTCCTGTTCGTGCACTTCCCTCAGTACGTATCTACTCTATTATAGAATTGAGCACCATCGATTCTGTGACTCTGCTATGTGTATGATGATTTAAAAATAGCAGCTATGAGCCTTGGGGATCGTTTCCAGTTGAAACCAGTTCTCTGAAAGTATGAAAATTGCTGAAATAAAGTGAGGTTCTCAAGCAAGTGCGTGCAATGGTTGTCTATATCGTGTGCACAGTATGCGCCCCGTGCAGTTGAGCTGGATAACAAACAGTTAGTAATAATAATAATAGTAATTATAACATTGATAAACGGACTGGGCCCTCAGAAAACCCTCGGCTTATAGTCAAAGCAAGGGCTCAACTCTAGCACGTAAAGGGTAAGAGCTCATGTCGCATACACCAACTTACAATTGATATAGTAGTATACATACGATATATTCTACGAATAATCTCACGTGTTACTGGGCTTGACCACCCAGAGTTGAAGTCTCAACAATCTCCACCCCCTAGCTTATGCGGCTTGAATCTCATTTGGGTCATAAGCATCATCCTATTACAAAATCGTTGAATATGCTGATAGTAAATAGGTTCGTATGCTAAATTTTTATAGAACTTCAAAGTCAAGCTATGCCTTCTGAGTTTATGATCGTCGTCGAACTACTTTTAACTGAAGCACTTGTAGCGGGCAAATTGTGGACAATTGCAAATCTTACTTCGTTAAACATGTGACAGGTCTGCATATAAGAACTAACTCCAGGAAGTCAAACAAGGAGGAACCAAAAGGGGTCAAACGACAAGATCGCAACATTATATACGTGCCCGTCTTTCTCCCAGAAACGAAGGAGACCTGATACACTTTTAGAAAAGGAAAACAATTGAAGTCGAAGGTGAAGTTTGTGCTCTCAGCGTCATCGAGTTTGAGCTCTGACGAACCATAGTAAATGCCAGTTACTGCGCTGAGCAAAGAAACAAATGTTATAATCTTTTGCGCTGTTAGATAATGAAATCCGGAAAGCTAATTTCTCTTTGAAATTGGACGGTACGCTAATGAAATAGGTCAAAAAGTTCAGGTTCTGAAGCCGCATGGTACATATAAATATCCCGTAAAAATCCATAAATAAAAGACACCTTTCGGTAATGACAGTCAATGACTACTGATGAGCTCTATATAGCGATCTCTGAAGGTCTGCAAATTTTCCTTTTCAAGGAGCCGTTTCGGATTTCGATTGTCGACTCTAGTGTAACCAACCTCGTGTTGCAAGTTGGTTCCATTAGCTTAGCAACAACAATCATTTGGTCGCGTTGTCTCGCTAATGTTACCCTATGGGTCAGACACTTATAAAAAGATACACATGTTCTCTGATTATAATTACTCCACCAAATAATTGATGACCCATATATTATGCCATAGGTCGCTCTAGTCAGTACTCAACCAGAGACGCCAGAGACGCGTAGGTCTGTGTCACTGCGAGAGCAGACCATATATCTGGCCAGAGCTGTGTAGGCTCAATGCGGCCACGTTATGTGTGCTTAACTGTGATAATAGGAATTCTTCCTGGCGGAAAACGAACACGTAAGTAATTCTCTTAAAATAGCTTATTCGGCTTACCTAGAAAGCCCTTGGGGCGAACTACTCTTATAGCCGTTCTATCGAATGCATAATTTCATAATTATGCAAAAGGGCAGCAATTACGATCTGGCTAGCTCAGGAAAAGTACAATAATTTACTCGAAATATAAGCATACTTTTCATTTACGGAGTACGAACTTCGTCTATTGAGAATGTCAAGTACTTCTACCGAGTGCGTGTCTGCACGGACCATCAAGTTACGAACGTAATTTGAACGATGTTTCGTTCTGGGCACGTAACAAGATACCTATCGTATTCGGCCTTTTAGCAATCTTTGCAAAAATTACTGGGCTGGAATACGTCTCCACTTACTTCCACGATTTAATAACTTAGACAAGATACAGCTGTTTTTTTGCACCATAACTTGCTATTTTGAAGTGATGATATAAAAGAGGACATGCCTACAATCGAATTGTGTTGAACAATACTGTGGTTCGAATCCGCCCTGTTGCATAAAATCCATAGCGAAAACTTAGTGAACAGAAGACAGGTTAGTGCGTCGCAGCTATTCCCGGTAGAAGTGGTAAGCACGTATTCTTTAGATGGCAACACCAAGTGCCACCAAATCTTGAACCTGGAGATCGCAAACGGAGCATTATACAGATTCAGCCTAAAAAAAAAAAAGGCAAATACGTTTACATTAAATAAGTACAGCACTGTCAATGCGTTCATTATTTACGAGGCAAACTTCCAAATGCTGTTCTATGTCATGTCTATTTTCTGTGTACCATGGATTGCGGGTCGTAAACCGCTATACAATTTTTTCACGCAGTGATAAAAGTATAACGGTTGCATCTGTTTTCTCCCGCTTATCTTCTTTAGACAGCGATTTTGGTGCAAAAGATTTACCGGTATTTTTACAAAATTCAATAGTTAGGCTTAAGTCATTTCAAAAAGCAAAATTTCTGGGCCTGAACAGACGTTGCATTAAAGAAAATCGATCGTTATTGTTATTCCTATCGCATCATTTACACCACGTGCAATAAATAATATGTTTTTTGTTTTTTTTTTTTAATGCAATCCACTGTCGAGGGAAAAGCGTTTATTGCATCAGCGTCCACCCAAGTTAGCTTTATCAGCGTGTTCTAAAATATCATGCTAAATAAATAGGCGAGGCCGGAATCTATTTCATTCAAAGGAAGGTTCTTATCCGTAATCATGTATGTAAAAACGTTTGTTCTATTGATATAAAGCTCCTATGAAGGCCATTGTCGTCGTTAAGATCAAGGCGGTAGCTTCATTTTAGAATTGAACATTCGAACATTTTGTCAGTCGCTAGTTCCCCATCTGAGTTTTCCAGTAGCTAACAATGGAAATATCTTTCTAAATTTCGAGAAACATATATGCTTCAAACCCTTCACGATAAATTTGTTGATTATAGATTATTGTTTATATGAGTTTTTAACTTTTTTTTTTATGTAGAGCTATTACCGACCATTTCAATGCTATTTTTCTTAGTCAGTTTAGGTTCAAGCTTTTCAAACGTGATCGACTTCCAGCTGTTTGAGCATTATTCATTTCTAACAGGGATACAATATTCTTGGAAACCATTTCTTACGAAAAGTCGCCTGGAAAATTTGAAATGAAAGACAAAAGATAGCTTGATTCAACATAAGGTGCAAGTTGAACAGCTATATATATATATATATATATATATATATATATATATACATATATAACGTTTCTGAATGGAGCAGTAAGCATGCTTTTCTAAACAACACAAGTACAAAAAACAACAAGAGGTACCAAATGTACAGCTTGTTCTCAGCTTTGTAAGAAATCTGAGTGTTTTGGCCTGCCATTGAAGCGAGATTCACTTCCCGCCGTTGGCCTCCTCCAGATTTCCTAGCAGTCGCGCTTAATTAGAGTAAGACAATTCTTTCCTCCACCTCGAAAATAATAGTTATCTCCATATTTAAATATCGACGGCTTTTTATTATTGTTATTAAAACGATACAAATTTAATTAAAAATATGCGCAATGGGAAGGTGTGATGGTTTTCGAAAAAATTAGGCGAGCACTTAAAGCTAGTCAATACAGAACGCCTGATCAGTTTTCGAAAATCAGCGAACATCAGCTTAGGAACTAACCTTTGGCCTCACGGTTACTAATTCAACGGTTCCGAACAGACCATCCAAATGTGTAAACAAAGCAAATGTTTAAGACCAGATAAAACATGCCGCCTTTGACGTAAGTGGTGTGCCAGGACTTCACTGAGATAATCATACACTTCCACGAATGCTCTCTATTCCACTTAACGATCATTTGAATCCACGTGTCCCTAGGCATAGAGTACCTGAGACGGTTTCAAGGCGGAGTACGTCATGTGCCAATACGAGATACGGAAACGACGGGTGCGGTACCCACTGCTCCTTTCTGAACAGACTCAATTTTGTTCTATTTCTGAATTACTAAGGCAATTGAATCTGAATACTGTGTGGTACGATGTCAGCTCCGATTCGTCGAAGACGACGTTAGCTACCCATGAATTCTACCTTTGCTTCGCTTTGCTTTTCCCCTAATAAACATATATCGAATTTATGTTTCTAGTTCTACGCGTTTCAATAGCTGTTGCGGCCAAGCTGTTTCTATGATTAGGCAAAGCTAAATCAAGACACTAAACAAGATATAGTAGTACACTGTTGTATATAGGCATAGCTATATTTTTATCCGAGGTCGAAGTGGGGAAAAGGACTGTGAGTTTTTCATTTACGGTCACACGCTGAGTAAATCTGCATTGCACAACTTCAACGTTTTCGGTGTTTCGAAACTATATATTAGTAACAAAAAAACAACAATATTGAACATTAAAACTACTATTACATTGTTGCGTCGGGTACTTTTTCGTTTGTGCAGAATAGCTCCGTATTGGGGTGACGAGGGATCACGCTGGCACTTGGTGGGACCTAACAGGTGCATCGCACTAACTTGAAGCCTACCTAGGAAAGCTACTACCAGGATCAATTTTACCATAGACAGAAATATATTGATGAGCATTTTTCCCTTAATAGACCACTAATGACTACGTATGACTATGAACCATAACAGAAAACAAGCTAAACCGTGATCGGTGGTTCTTTTGCGCTGCCTGATAAGCTTGACATAATTGCCCCGTACAATTAACATTATACCAAGCGGGTCCAGTTGATCGAAACGCTCGTGATTATTTATGAATTTCACTTTTCTCTCGAGCATTTATTTATGCCTGAATCGTAGATCCCGCAGCGTTTGCTTCTGATAGGGCAAATTCTCTAGGTCCGCGTTTTCCAGGCTTCGTGCACAGTCGCTTCAATGCAGTGTACACCGCAAGGCCCTAGACGCTGGTCGGAACCATTCACGATCGAACTTGAACTTATTTTCGAGTAGACGGAGCCTCGTCCAGTTCTACTGGCGTGCAACTGTTACTGCTTACGACGATTTATCATCGGGGCTATTTATTCAGCAGACCGATCAGTGAAGCTTGTAACAGTATGCAAAACGGCTTCCTTTCAGCCCTTTTCATGCTTACAGAAAATGCCGTAGAACGCTGTCGTGTCATATACAAAGACGTATTGGCAATACGACTCAATTACTACCTGTTAGCACTAGCTTAGCGTACTTTCTTAGAGGTATACGCTATTCTACAAGTGTTAGTTAAAAATGGGCAATACAATTTCTCTGTTCGGGTGCGTGGTCGAAAGAAAGCGGTTACTTGTACGTATATAGAGAGACGCTGACTCCGATCTGGTTGTTATCGCCACTTGCCAAG